CGGACAAACTGTCTTTTGAAGTTCGAGAGGGGAATTTCGACCACTCGCACACTATCCTGGAGATCAGCTTTTCGCAGACAAGCGCAAATGGCAGTGCTCATATCATCTGAAACGAAAGGTACACAGAAGGGTACCTTTGTGTGATCTTCCTCTTGCGCGTGTTCCATCCTAGCACGCCTTCTACGCCACGCAGGCTGCCCATCGCAACCATATCCATTTTCCTGCGCAATCTGACAAGCCATTTCCATGGACTCCGTTCTAAAATCGCCTCCGTACGGAACTGCAGAAGCCGTTTTAAACAAGTTCTTGACAATGGCAGTTTTCGTCTTCAATGGATGCGCTGAACTGGAATGGACTAGGATATTCTTACTGCTAGGCTTTTGATACCACTTCGTTTTTTGGATACCATGCGAGAATTTCATCTGAACGTTGAGGAAGGCGAGCCAATTCTCTGCCGGTTCCTCCCCTGTAAACTTAATGTGTTCAGACTGCCTGTTAAGTAATTCAAAACAGGTGTCCATCTCAATTTGTGTGGAGCACACGATAAAACAGTCGTCGATATACCGGCAGTAAATTATCATCTACTACCTACTTGAACTCCTGCTGATTGTTGAGTTTTACCCCTTAGAGCAAGCCTGTGAGCTTATAAAAGTATAGCAGTTATATTAGTTAGTTCAGATGAATATATGGAAGCAGGCTAGTCATGTTGTACCAAGTCTTTCCGACTCATTTGTCGATTACTCGCGGCTGGTCGAGAATTATACATAACCATCGAAAATCTCTTTGTAATCGGTGTGGAATGGGAGCTCGGATCACCATTTCTCCCAGTCGGTAAAAGTATACTCTTGCGTTTACCGCAATACACTCTGGTGGGATCCCATGGTAAAACACCTGGCTAAGCAGAGGAGGAACGAGCTCGTGTCTTTCTTAGCGTTAGCGCATTGCTTTATAGCGGGCTGTGGTCTTATGTCCGGTGGTAGGCATTGCGATTTCCTATGTGGATTTTCATATGACTTCTACTTTTTATCCTGAGCAATAATAGTCGTTGTTCGCTTACAGTCGTTTCCCCTGATGGGAGGCCAGAACAGTGTCGGTATTTGAGGAAAATGGACGTTCGCTTCCACAACTCCGTCGAAGCAAATCTTTTCTCAGAAGAAGCGATCGAACGATTTTTAGTAGGTGACAAGGGAGGATGCATTGCTGCCCATCACATACCATGTCTCATTCCAAGCCTGAGTGTCTGAGGGATCATTCTCGTAATGGTGAAGCAGAAGACTTTGGTAGACTTATCGATGGCACATCGTTCTGTGGACGGTTACATACATCGAAAGACCACGTCAAGTACCAACCAGCTATAATATCTAACAACAATGCGCTTCCCCTAAGGCAGGGATAGCCGAGTGGATAAGAGTGTAGGCTCACGTCTGCACTTAAAGAAAATGCGAGTTCGATCCCTGCCGAGGCAACTCCATGCCTTGCAAAGAACTGCAAAAATGGTATCGGTACCAGCGTCAGGCCAGGTTGACAGGCCGGCTGTTGGAGAAACCCAGTCACAACAAACATGTCTAAAGTCTCAAAAGGTATCAGTGATAAAGCTAGGACGTCACCCGGAAGTGGCGCACAGGATCCCCGCCCGAGTTCTGTGGACAGTATGCGAGGGCTACCGAGGAGTGAACGACCTCGGTCAAAGAAGTTAGTTCGAATTGGGATTCTGAACGTGGGTTCCCTTACTGGGAAGTCCCGAGAAGTCGCCGATCTGTTGATGCGCAGAAACATCCAAGTCCTATGCCTCCAGGGGACCCGCTGGAAGGGAGCAAAGGCCAGAGAAATCGGAGAGGGTGTTAAACTCTACTACAATGGAGATGAC